CTTGTCTCCCAACAACAGAGGGGACACCCCATTCCATGATGACCTGTGGAATAGGGACTTGAAGTCAGATTTAACTTGGTTAAAAGAAAATAAAGAAATAAATTTTTTAAAATTTTGTTTTTTATCAAAGTATAATTAATTTACAATGTTAGTTTCAGGTGTACAGCAAAGCAATTCAGTTACACGTATACATATATATATTATATCAGATTCTTTTCTGTTCTGTGTTATTACAAGAAATTGAATATAGTTCCCTGTGCTGTACAGTAGGTCCTTGTTGTTTATTTCATGTATAGAAGTGCATATCTGTTAATTCCAAACTCCTAATTTACCCTTCCCCTTCCCTTTCCCCTTTGGTAACTATAGTTTGTTTTCTATGTTTGTAAGTTTATTTTTGGTTTGTAAATAAGATTTGTATCTTTTTTTAAGATTCCATATATAAGTGATATCATATTTGTCTTTCTCTGTCTGACTTACTTCACTTAATATGGTATTCTGTAGGTCCATCCAAGTTGCTGCAAATATCAGTATTTCATTCCTTTTTATGGCTGAGTAATATTCCATTGTATGTATATACCACACTTCTTTATCCAGTCATCTGTCGATGGTATGATATTTCTCAAAAAGAGTCTTTGGAGTAAGTTTTATATCCATTATACTACAATATGTCAGGCACAATGCTGATGCTTTATGTGATTTATCTCACTTAAGAGCAAGGATTTTGGAGTCAGACAGATCTGAGTTCAAATTCTGGTCAGTACTTCCTGGGGAAGTTGTTTAATCTTCAGCCTCAGTTTGCTCGCCTGTGAAATGGGGATAATTTCTTCCTCAAAGATGATGTGAGGAATCAACATGATGATGCCTGGAAAGAGTTTAGCCCATTGCCTGGCATAGAGTAGGTGCCAAATGGGAGCTAGTAATTATTTAAAGGTACACAATGTAATAATACTAAATGCATGTGGGAAACAGGGTAATGGAAAGTAGGAAAAAAGAGAGGAGGCTTGTTTTTCAAGCCTTCTGCCTTATCTCTGGGGTTCTCATTCTTTTGAACTGGAAGGCTTTTTGAATGGGCAACTTAGATTAGAATAAAATTCAAGTTTCCATACTTGCATCCCTCACACCTTTGTTTGAGTTGATGCACAACATAGAAACATTATTACTTTACAGAGAAAATCAAGGCTAAAGGATAGGAAAGCCTGGCAGTCCAAGTTCACCCAAAGACAAACTATTAGAGCAGAGGACCCAGGGGCCAGCTAGCCCATTAAGAACAGGCTGTCCAAAGACCAGGCCTGCAGGCTGGCCATAAATGGGTTATCAGTGCACCCAAATACTGGTCCCCTCAATGGGAATGTGGCTGGGGAGGGTCTGGGGTGCCTGGAGTGCCCTCCCTGGGCCAGTTACCTTTGACTAAGAACAAATCTTGTATATACAGTCGGTGATTATAGTTAATAATACTGCACTTTATATCTGAAAGTCACTGAGGAGAAGATCTTCCAAGTTTCATCACCAGAAAAAAAATTGCTGTAACTAAGTGAGGTGATGGATGTTAACCAGACTCACCGTGCTGATCATTTCACAAAATATATAAATATCAAATCATTATGTTGTGCATCTGAAACTAATAGAAAGTTATATGTCAAATACATCTTGAAAAAGACCAGATCTTATTTTTTTATGTGTGCCAGGACATAAAAAATTTGGGAAGCCCTGATGTAGGGGTTGAGCACTTTGGTCCACATGGGGAGAATTGTCTGTAGAGGGAGGAAGAGATGGCATAAAGTATCATTAAAAGGCTCAAACTGAATTCAGGATTTATCAAACCCAAGCAAGGACGGGATAGGTGAATTCCAGAGTTGCCAAGGCAGAGTCATGCAATGCAGGAGATCCCACATGGGGATCGAGCTGTCACGTCATAAGAATCCTGGCGTTTGCAGGTGGAAATCTGCCAGTGAGGTTGGGAGCTGGGACTTCTCTGCAGGGCAAGATACTTCCACTTGGTTACAAAGTGGAAGCCTACTTGTCTGGGAGCAAGGGTTCCAGTGCCAGAATGGACCTGGAAACCAAAATAAAGACTATTGGCTTAAGGCTTCTGCATTTCCTCAACTTACGGCAAGTGGGCAAGCTTGTAGCCTGAGTCTGGAGCAGGGCCAGATTTTAAAGTAAAGGCTTAAATGGATTTAAGTTTGAATGTTAGGAAGGAAGCCAGACAAGGAGCCAAGCAGGCCACAAAACCACCCTCCCTGTGGTTTCTTGCGGCTGTTGCTGTCAAGTCTAGAATCTGCCAGCTGACCACCCCACCCCCGTAGCAGAGAATAGCTTTATTCCTGCTGAAGTTGAACGTTTCGGTTCTGTCCTGCTGTATCAGAGCACAGAATTTTTTTTTTAATTGAGTGGGTTAAGTAATAAGCTGAGATAATCATGCTCAGCCCTTGCAACAGCGTTTGAGTCATTTATTAATGCAGGGACATTAATCTGCTCTATTATAAATACAGGATAATTACCCAGATGATGTGTGAAGCTCTTTCTAAATTTCTTTTCTTTATTTAGTCCGACGTAAGAGCTAACATATGGCGCCTTCGCCATGGGTACATGTGGATGAGGTCAGTTACAAAGAGAGCAAAAACTAAGTCCGTGTGGTTTCGAGAATCAGTCAGTCAGTAAAGACGTTAAAGGCTTTTATGACTGGGAGTAGGTATTGAGGGCACAGGGTCAAAAAACTAAGAACCGTAGGCATGTGCCCCAGAGGGTTTCTAATCTAGCAGGTGAAGGGAGGCTGAACTATAGAAGTTAATTAGGTAGGTGAGAACTTGGGGACCCTGGGTGATGGGACGCTCCATTGTGGAGGAGTTCGGAAGTGTCAATCACACGTTGCAGGAAGGTAGACAAGTCCAAGGCAATAGTTCACAGCTCTGATTGGCATATTCAGTTCAAGCAAGGGAGATTCTTTAAGAAAATACAGAGTTCAACCCAATGTAGGATGTGTGACTGTGGAAAGAGGCAATCCTTTAGAGAATCAATAGCAAGAAGGAAAGAAAGACAAATCTCTGGTTAACTGGGCTTTGATGCCATTTGAGAAAGAGGGTCGGAATGATAGATTGCGAATCCATGCTGAGAAATTTGTAACATTTCTTACCCTTTAAACTTCCTGTGTTTAATTTTTTTTTTGAGTTTTTTTCCTCCATGGTGATTAGCAGTGTGCTTGGGGAAGGAGAACAAATTTCAGGAGGTTGGAGCTGGTGGAATGTTAGTCATGGGAATTGTTAATAATAAGCGTTCAGCTGTTTGCTATGTAGATTGTACGAAGTTCCTTTGTCGCTCTTGAATCTCTGCCTTACACCCTTGTCCAGGGGTGATCATTGGTGGGAGACTGAACAGGAAAAGGTGCCACACCCCACGCTGGCGTGGATGCGGGCTGGAGAGGAGAGAGTGACTGGCGGAGGGAAGACACAACGCAGAGGTGTGGAGAACTTGCTGGAAACAGGCAATCAAAGCAAAGGGAAGCCAGGGAGACAGAATCCTTTTGCCAGTCCCGAGATACCGGGGTGATGTTCATTCATGCTTGAGCATTTTTTCAAATCAATGCTGAGACCATCCCTCTATCTTTGCCCTTTATTTCAGGAAAGTTTTGTTTTAAGAGGACATCAGGCAGCTGACATCTGTGCTGTAAAGGCCCCTGTGATCTCGGTGGGAAAAAGGCAGGCGTGGGTTTGGCCGAGACCGTGTCCAACTTCAGAACCAACCTCAAGAAGGTGGTGCGCAGGGGCAGGAGGGGAGCAGCAGAGAAGGAAAGGAAGCCTGCCGTGGCTTAAGAAATGGTCCTGGACACCCCTGTAGCTTCTACAGAGAGCAATGGCCCCCCTGTGCCGTCTGCCCCCAGGAAAGCTGTCAGCTGGCGATCATACACTCTAAGTCCAAAAGAGAGGGTACGTGGAGCAGCAGAAACTTTTATTTTAGGTTTACTTATCTTTATTTATTTATTTTAACGGGGGTACTGGGGATTGAACCCAGGACCTCGTGCATGCTAAGCACACCTTCTCACTGAGCTACCCCCTCTCCCCCAGCAGAAGCTTTTTGGATGACATCGATCTTCAGTTTGATTCTAAAGAGTGGCCAGGCAAGGAAGAGACATGATTACACGACGGCGCCCACCTCTGTGCATTTCCTGTGGGCCAGGGCTGTGCTGTGTTACATGTGCTGTTTCATCTCCTCCTTGGAAGGCGGATTTAACAAGCGAGCGAAATGAGGTTTAGAGGGATGAAGCCGTGTGCTGGTCAGCGGTGGGGCTGAGTTTCGTATCTAAGAACCCCTGGTGCCACGGAGTGTTCTCGGTCACTAGCGTCTGTGGTCTCAAGAGGGCAGACCGTGTGGTTTTAAACCCATAGCTCCTCTTCTGAGAAACACCAGAGGGAGAGAACACATGTGTAGTGGATGAGGCGGTGGGACGTGGGGGCTGCCAGCAGCAGGGCCCCTGCGAGGGACTGAATGGAGACTTGTCTCCCCAGGGCGCAGGCTCGGACTGGGGAGGAAAGGTTGTTCGCGTCTCAGACATTCAGAGTCCTTCCCACTTTTTCTGGTTGTCCCCTTAGCCTGGCTTTTTTTTTCCCCCTGCATAGTCATTCTTATCCTTGAGGTCTTGGAGGAAATATGATACCCTCGAGTAGCTCTTCTCAAACCACTGCCCCATTTATTTCATCATCCTCGGATCAGTTCTCTAACAAATATCTAACCAATTGCCCCAAACTCAGCAGCTTAAAACAAGATTTGTAGTCTGTCTCCCGTTTTCTGTGTGTTAAGAATCCAGGAGCTAGTGGCCTGGTTCGAGATCACTCATGAGGTGGGCGGGGCTACAGTCATCTGGAGGGCTGGAGGACCCACTTCTAAGACTCTCCACTCATTGCTGGCAGTTTCAGTGTCCTCTTGAGGACGCTCGGCTACCACACTGGGACTCCCTATAGGCTATCTGAGCGTCCTTAATGCATGACAGTTGGCTTCTCCCCCAGAGTGAGCCGGAGCAGGAGAAGGTGACCAGAACAGAAGCCACGGTGTCTGTCATAACTTCATCGTGGAAGTGACATACCATCACCTCTTCCGTACTGCACTGGTCAGTCAGCTCCATACAAGGAGAAGGGGACTACACAAGCGTGCGACCGTCAGGAGGCTGGATCGTCGGGGACCCTCCTGGAGGCTGGTAACCACAGGCTCGTTTATTTTCTTCATGGCATGTGTCTCAATCTCAGGTTTTCTCATTTGTTGGCTTACCTGTGGATTGCTGATTTCACTCTCACTAAAACAGAAGATGTACTAGGGCAGAGACACTTACCTGGCTCACTCCTGGATCCCCAGCCCTGAGAAGAGTGTCTGACATTATCAGTATTGTTGAATGAATGACTATGTGATTGAACCACAGGGTAAAGTATAGGAAGTCACTAAGGAACCTCCATTTCTTTTGTCTGACTGTTTTTCATCACACTAGTTTGGCCTTTTATTAAAGGTTGACTTGTAAGATCACTGCCTGGACAAAGAGGCAGGAATGTAAGACAGATGCCAAGTCAGATTTTTTTTTTACTTGATAAATGATTTAAAAGAAATAGGTAATATATTCTTAGCCTTTCTTTTGCCTTCTACCAAATACATGCTCTAATAATCAAAGTAGCCTGGTATAGTGTCTCATAGTGTCAGCATTGCTCTAACATTCTACACTTCATTTGCTGTTAACAATGCCACGTTCAAGTTGATAGAACTTATATTCACAGGTGAGGTATTGGAGGTTTGGAGAAGTCAGTGACTTACCAAAGGGGATACGCTTCGTGGTAACATGGGGACCTAAACAAAGCCTGGCTCCAAATTAGGGACACTGTCCCCACTGTCCCTGCGCCCAGACTACATTTGTTTAATGTTTACAGAATACTTCTCTCATGGTAATTTTAGTTGTCTTATATAGAATGATCCTTTCAGAAGAGCTGTTCTCAGAATAATGTACTTTCCTTCATATGTGCGTGGACTGTTCCTTGCACACCAGGGTGATTGTGTTAACTTATCATTATGGCAAGGGCTCTGAATTGTTTATAATTTAATTTAGTTATCATTTTTTGACTCCCTGTTGTGTGTACAGAACTGAGCTAGATGCTGCATATAAACACGATGAATAAGCTATGTGCTTTGACTTCAAAGAATGACATGTCTTGTATTTTCTTTTCCTAATTCTAAAAGCAACTTAGGTGTTTTTCAGAATTTTTGAAGAATATAGAGTTGTATAAAGAAGAAAAAAAATATTGCCTGTAAACCAAGCTCCAAATGTTGGCTACCATTAACATTTTGGAGTATTTCCTTCTAGTGTTTCATGTACATGTCTGTCTGTCTATCTATCTAATGTGTATGTACTTCCCTATAATAGGTTTAATGCAAGAAAAAAAGTCACCTTAATTTTCTTTTTCCCATAGCCCATTAAATATGATTTAGCCCCTAACCTACTCAGTCTTAGATTGGCCAATGGCTCCCTTAAGGTTGTGAAAGACTCCAAAGGCTTACACAGCCTGAGGAACTAGGAAGGCTTCTGACCTTAAGCTGTGGTCTCTGTCCTCACAGGCCATTCAGTGTTGGGGGCTCCTTGGTATCAGGGCTCACAAGGGGCTGATGTTCTGGTCCCAGATCTCCAAGATCCACGCACACCTCTGGGGCACATGGAACAGAGCCTGGGAACAGAGACCCATGACTTGACTCCTCCATCTCCTAGTCTTTAGAATTCCAGCTCTCTCCCTGGGTCTGGGCCATCTTCTCTATTACCCTTGAGTCATCCCCCGTCCAAACACACACACATACCACACACACACACACACACACAAAGGGTCCAGCTTGCTCACTCTTGCTGTGACTGAAATACCAATGATGGTCAATCCATTTTGTAGTAAAAGAGTGTCCATCCTCATAGGCCTTGCTGTTCTTTGGTGAGAGGGAAGGGGAGAATGACATTTCCATCCTCTTGCTAATGATGACTCAGCAGCAAAGAAAAACCAAAACCAAAACCAAAAACAGACAACATGCTAATCAGTTTATTAATTACAGATGCTACTTTCAGTACTTCTCTCTCCCTGTGTTTAAATTCAGACGACACATCCAAACATCGTTTTGTATCCTGCCTTTTAACCTGATGCCGTATCATGAATGTGCCCCACATTATTAAATATTTTAAAAGAAACAGGACTTTCCTGGGTTTTTTTTTTGATGTTACAAAGAGTTCTGAAATCAACATTTTTGAGGATAAGTTTTGTTTGATCACTTTTTTTAGAATAAATGATGGGTTTCTGCTCTCAAAGAGTTCACTTCTGGCTTGGAATGAGAGTGGGGCAGGGAGACAGGAGAGAAACAACTTTCATGTAGGTGGTGGACTGGACAATGAAGGCAGAATACTGGGTGCAAAGGCGGCAAAAATGGGAAGACATCTTCAGTGGCAATAGGTTTGCCCAGATGTGTATAGACATGCTTCTTTAAGTCCTCTGACAGTCAGTGACATATGTTTTAGATGTAACCCTGAAAGAGTGATGTAGTCTAAGGCCTTACTCCACTGAGTGTGGCCTCAGACCAGCAGTAAGAGTAACTAGGCAGTTGCTACAAATGCAGAATCCCTGACCCTGCTCTAAACCTCGATAAATTGTAAACAGCATCACTGTCATCCCATGCTAGGTCTTTGTGCTTGAACCAGCTGATCAGCCGGCATGTCTAGCTTACAGCCTAATTTCCCTTTCCATCAGCACGGAGCCCGTGTTTGAAAATGCATGAGCAGTTACGGCTATTATGATGATGACTATTATTACTATTACCTTGATTTTTTAGTGTATATTTTCTTTTAAGAGCTGAAAAGGCTTAAGAAATATTATTTCGCTAATCCTTACAATATCACTGTGAAATAGGTAGGTGGCAAATATCAACAAGTATCAACATTATGCTAAATCACACTGAAGTATATAGTGTGAAGTCCTGAGCGATCTAATGAAAGCAGCATCCTTGTGTGGCTGGTGAAGGGTTTTATATTTATGTCTCTTATGTTAAATCTCTAAGCGATGGGCCTTGGTGATCTTTTATGTGTTTTCCACCTCTCATTTCGATAATGTTCCCCTTGCATTTATATGGAAAAAAATAGGTATATTTTGAAAAAATTCTAGGCCCCAAAGAGATTTCATAAATGTGACCCTAGAAATATCCACGTATAAATAAGGGAAACAGAGATACTTAGAATTACCAAGTGGAATGGAAATCAAAGGCTGTCGTTTAATCCAATCAACTTCTATATTGAGGCATTTCTGGATTGAGTCCAACCTGTCTTTCCATCTTGCCAGCTACTCTGCCCAATTAGTTCTTTCCAAACTTTAGTTATTTTTTAAAATCACATTCACTAATTCTCTTATTTATCTTTAAGAACAACCAGTTAAACAAATCCAGAAAACTTTTTTTTTTTAACAGAGAAATTTTATGTAACACCACGAATGGAAGACCAGTAAGGTCTACTTTGTGTAAAATTTTCAGTAGTACTGAAAATAAACACCATGAAACCAAACTCTTTTATTAAATTCTAGTCTTCAGACTTGGAGCCTGAGGCTGGATCTCTCTTCGTTAAAAAGAGAGGTTTAGGAAGTACTGGCACCAAACGGACACTCTTCTCTTCAGACAATTAGGAGAATTAACAGAGTGACTCAGATTATTTTTCTGACTTTGTAATTCAGTGTCACTTAATGTCTCCATGTGTACTGCTTAAAATCGTCTCCCTTCACTCCCACAGTTTTGAGCACTGATTCTCAAGTCACCGGAGTGGTCTTCCCACAGGTTCCCCCATTACTTCTCCTTCCCCCACTAAACACTTTCCGCTCTGAGCCTTTGCTACAAAGGCTTCTCCCGTCTGATAGGACTTCTTTTCTCTGACTGTCTGAATCTCTTCAGCCTTTAAGACCGGCTTAAAATTCTTCTGGGGGAGACTTCTTGATTTCCTGGGCTTGTGGAAACTTCAGCTTCTTTTAAATGCCTTTTATAGTACTCGGCTCACATTTATCACACCCCAACTGAATGAGTCATTGAGAGTCTTCCTGTGGGAGAATCTGTCTTCATTACTAGTGAGGTGCTAAGCCTTCTGAGGGCAGCATGGCACCGGATGCTCCTTCTCAGCGTGGTGCCTGACAAGGAGCAGGGGCTCAATGGGTAACTGTCGCTTATTTGAGACAAAATTTCTCTGACTCTGCTCCGTTTGTGGTTTGAAAATTGAGGGGCTAATGAGGGCTGTATCTACAGTAGCTCGATGGCCCTGAGGGTTCCTGACTGACCTCGTCACTCTGTCCAGTGCCATCACAGCACAGAAGGAAGTTTTTGGTAGCTTGATTGTGGCTTTGACCTGCACGTTACAGTTTGTGCTATTTGTGACATTCTTAGGGACCTTTGAAAAGCCCTGCTAACTCAGAGAAAGTAAATTAAGTCAGATAGAAACCCTGGGTTTGGAATCAGTCTAGTAACCCAATCAACTAGAATTCCTAGAAAGCACCCCTGGAAGAGGCCAAGAAAGCGTCTCAGACCGCCTGCCGCAGCTTTCATTATGCAAACCGTCAGATTGCCACTTCTTTCTTCAGCGTGCAGTCCTTTTCAGACTCTCCTTCCGTGATATGACTTTCAATTTGTTCCTTTCTTTGGGGCTCTGTTTGCCAGGCTAGTTCACTGCTTTTGTTTCCTATCCTGAAAGGTGATTGTTTCTAAGATTTGGATGCAAAATTCCCCCAAAGATCACCAAATTTACAAACATGCTGTGACTACTGAAATCTTGATATTTCACTCGCGTAAAATTGAAAGTATCAAGATCATTATCTAAATACTGATAAACTTTCCCTATTTGAAATCTTTCCATTGTATAAGGTTACAACTGATACAACTTTTAAGATATCTGGTGGTTATAAGAACTGTCTCCAGGAATCTATGCTTTCTACCGAGGCCTCGTTTTCATTTAGAAGCTTTTCAAAATTTCTTTTCAGAAACAGCTAGAGTACATTTTTTTTTTTAGAGTACATTTTAAACAACACAGAAAATTATGTTAAAAGACTAGATCTCGCCTAGGAACCAGAGATGTCAAATTCAACCAAGCACACCCATAGTGTCTCCTTATTTTTGTCAGAGGTGTTAAGATTGTATTTTCATGGCCTTTATAAAATTGCCTGT